TATATAATATGTATGTTATCAATATCTGCTTCATGATTTAATAACAAGAGAAATTTTAAAGAAATACTCACTGGTCACTGTCAGGATGGTGTTCAGCAATAAGCTTATCTGCTTTATTTCTAAAGGCATCAACTCTTTTTTCACCAGCCTCAAAGGTATTGCAAAACATATTGTGTTGTCGAATCAGTCTCTCAACATCATCCAAATTTTCCTTAAAAAAAAAAAAAAAAAAAAAAAAATCTTAATACAATAGTAGTAGTAGTAGTAGTGGATAATCTACAAAAAATTATATACCAAACCACATTTTTATTTTATTTTTTTTGTTATTGTTATGGTCCGGTTCCTTGTACCACGGTGATAGTCCAAGGTAGAACCAATAAAGAAGAACTCTAACACAGATATGGAATAACACAGATATATTACAAACAGGAATATATACGGAGAAATAGAAAGTGTTAGTACGAACAATCAGGTTTAGTAGGGAGAACAATGTAGTCTCGACCAGGATCACTATTCCAATGTCTTGTAGTAATTGTCTGAACGCGACTGTTCAGACTGACTCAACTGACTGACTGACTCCTGATGGGCCTCACTCCAGACTGAACTCTCTGCTTCCTCTTGAGGCACAGTATTTATTATGTATGGAATAGTCCATTATGTTATTATGGGTAAGGTCCCATAACAGTTATCCATAAAATTTCTTCAATTTTATACAAGTTCATATTTCATCTAAATTATATCACAATGCTCAGGTTGTTATACATTCACTAACCTTTCTTAAGCCTCTCACTCCTCAACCACTATTTCCATAGAAAATAGTCAAATGAGCTACATTCCTTACTTCCTGCAAACTCATCCACCCAGCTAAAATCCACTATGCTATATACATTGAGGCAAACCACTTATTCCAAGTTTCACAAAAACTGTTGCTATGTTGACCTCTTCAAGTCTATGGCTAACCATTATCTTCCCTCACATATCTGCATGACTTACTCTTATTGCTCAGTAACCCTATACCTTGAGTTGTCCTTGGGCCTTGTATACTGGGAACATAAAAAAAAAAAAAAAAAAGATTCAAACTAATTTCAAATCTCAACAAGATTGTATGTAAACTAACCTTGTTAGAAGATTCTCCCCACTTATAAAAATTGTGTATTTGCATAAAATGAGCATTGCAATAAAAGAATAAAAGTTAAACTGAAGCAAAAATCAACACACAAAAAAAATAAACCAATTTGAAATGAATTATGTCCATATTTGTTTATTCATGATAAAGTTTTGCTATTATTCCATAAATATGAAACTTCCATGAATTAGGTTTTTTTAAGTTCTTTTGTCTTTCCGGCTTTTGTTTACATAATTTTTTTTTGTGGTGGTTATACTTGGGTTTTGGTGAAAATCATCTAAAAACAATCTCCAAAGTTAAAAATTTTCTTAAATTTTAGGAATGGTAGGTTCCTCTCTCTCACGTTTCATTAAATAATATAGAGATTATGTCTTTAATTTTTTATAATAATCCTTTTGAAAGTGCCATATCATTTGCTAATCCAAGTAGTTTTGATCTCCTCAGATATCCTCTTCAGAGATGAATTAGGAAGAAAAACTTAATGTAACTAATCACTGTGATAGTGATTGCATTCCCAGTTCAAGGGCGATAACCAGAGATAGTAAATTGCAAAATGTTAAAGGTTAGCCAACTCAAATGTATTTCAAAACATTGCTACTATACTCATAATAAATTTTGTTTGGTGTTGGTTGCATCTGATACAGAAGGCCTCAAGAATTTGAAATTTTTGTTTATTATTTTCATGGTGTAGTATACTGGTGTTGTCAACAATTATTTTTCTTTATTGTGAAGGTAAACACCAACATGCCTTTAAATGTTTTGCAATAAAACTTGTATCTGATTTATATATATATATATATATATATATATATATATATATATATATATATATATATATACACACACACACACACACAATCCTAGAGTTGTCAATAGAGACTAGTCATAAGTGAATAATGCCTGTATGATTACAAAAAGTTTAAAATCAATTGATGAAACTCCAATGATGCCTGTTGTTGAAAGGTTAATCTGATAAGTGCAATAGAAGCTATTATATATATCAGCAATAATTTACTAAGTTTAAAATAAGGTTTTTCAACTGTAGCTCTTAGAATGAGGAAGAGGGTTAAAATTTCTGGGAAACAAAAAGAGGCTTGAAGAATTTGACACTCAGAGAACACTGACAGAAAGAGGAATACATTAAATAACCTGTGGAAAAGGGACTAGGAAAGATAGTAAAAAGAAATGTTATGAAAGGTTATAAAAGACAGGAAGTTGTGAAGAGCCATGATCGTTTGCATCCTGAAGGGACATTGCCTATAAAAGAATCTATTTCTGAAATTGTTTTTGCTTCTCAGTCAAAAATCTACAACTTTCCCCACTATCAATTATGAATTATTCAATATCAAATTATTAATGTTTATTCTTTTAAAAAATTCAAGAAGCCAAACCTTACCGGATTTGCAGTGACACCTAAGAAAGCATCATTTCCACTGGTGATCGAGTCAATATAGTCAGCATCTTTATTGAAACACTACAAAAGAAAAACAATTTTCAAGTTCTATGACAATACACACAATGTGATCTCAGTGCAAGATGTTGAACATATTTAGTGACATTTTCCACTTTGACAAAGCAATGACAGTGCTAAGGTAGAAAACAATTAGTTGGCAAAGGGGACAACAAAATGATATTATTGAACCCAGTACTGACATAATTGTTTTTTATTACTATAAACATGTAAGGTTCACCCAGTAGAGCAGCACTATAAGCCACAGGTAAGTTCTGTTAATGTTGAACAAAAGTTTCAGATATGACAAAAATATCGGTAAAATGACAATATGAATAAAGACAAAAGGAAAACTTATCTTAGACATGACTTTTCAGTTAACCTAATGAAAATTTATGAGTCTCTTAAATTTGAAAAACTACATTTTTACTTTTGTTTAGAAATAACTGTTGCAAAATAAATCTTTACATTTGCATTGATAAAGTCTGTTGTACCTTGTGTTTTTGAGATAACAGAGGGAAATAAGGAAGAAACAAGTAATTAAGTAGATTTGTTTGGTTTGTTTTACAGCATACCAACCTCAATGGGTTATTTAATGCCGACAATTTTCATTGTTGGTAATATTTTTTCCAAAAATCTATTTCTGATAATAATTTTCCTTACCTGGTAATTTTTTTTATTTTTTCTAAAAAAATTTTTCTGGTAATAATTTTTTTTTTTACAAATTATTTCTGGTATTAAAATCTATTTTTACACTTTCATTGTGTTTTAACCCGAGTTTGGAGGTGGGTTAACTTTTTGCTCATAGTTGGGACCCTAACAGGTGTTACCACCCCAGGTCAGGGTGGACCTGGAAAGACCAGCAATTAAGAGATGGTTCCATACTCCTCAAAACCGCCTGACTAGAGGCTTTGCTGTTGGATGTACTTTATCATCTTACCCAGCAAATGTTCCTGTTATGTGCCGAGATCCTCACCGTTGCACAATATGTGAATTTGTATGCAGGTTACTAGCGATACTGAAGTGTCACATATTTAAATTGCGGGAGAGTCAATCAAATTTTTTTTTTTTTTTGTTAGCTTTCACAATTAAATTTCTATTTCTGACATTAACTCAGTCCATACCAGGGTTGATGAAACAGATGTCTGGTGTTTTCATCTGCTGAAATAGACTATTCCTCATATGAAGTGATTTGGGATTTTATTGTTTATTAATTATTTGCTCTGTAATAAATACATTGAACTCTTTTTGTGGATCAGTTATATTTTATATTACTAGGATCCACTTGGATCAATGGATTTGTTACCTTTACTCTCTCTCATATATATATATATATATATATATATATATATTATAGAGAGGTTGTGGGTGAGCTATTTAATGGCATTAGATTTTTGTGATTATTTCATTGAAACTTGTGTTAGGGCTGGATAAACTACCACTAAATTTGTCTGGATGATACCTTAAAACTGAATGTTTGAAGATAATTTTGGTGCACTGGCTTTTGTGTCTTCATTCACAGAGTCTGGACAATGTTTTTTGATATTTTGAACAAACTTTGAAACAAATGATCAATATCTAGTATATCAACCATCTAGTGCTTTCCCCATCCAACTGACTGCTGCATGGAGCATTTTCATGAACCAATGAAGTGTTGCTTGTCAGGTCTTCAAAGAAAACAATTTTAGGAGACTAAATATGACTATATCTGAAGTCATCTCCTAAAACTTGAACACTATGTTGTTATGAACATTTAAGCTCTTAATAATAAAAACTATGTAAAAAGATCTGTAGAGAGGCACTAAGTCCACTTTTTAATCCATCCTGACAACATTTAAACAAAATAGCCATTACCTCAATATAGGCATTTAAAAGCGGTAACACCCTAATGCCTCTGCATGTTTCACATACTTACAGTCCAGGAGCTCATGAATATGCCTGCAATTGGGTAGGACTGTATTTCCGTACACCCATCAGCTGATCAACTAGAAGCCATGAGAAGTCCACAACTTCTGCATTGCCGATACCCAAAACCTTATCTTACAAGTTGTAGTGCCAAAGAGATTATGGTCAATTTTTTTTTTTTCCAAATTTTATTGATCTTCAGAAGAGTAATGACAATTATACTCCTATTTTACTCATTAATTCAATAATAAAGGGACTATTCCTTTAATCAGAACTTTTAAGCTGCCTAACAACAAAACACTCTTCAGATGACATTTGTGTAGTTCTACACTTGGTCAAAACAGGAATCAAAGTTTAAAGATATAAACCTTATATTCAGACTTCATTTAAATGACTCATATAGGCATAAGAATTCTTTTCCTTTCTTACCTGAAGAGCAAATGCATCTTCCATTTGCTTGTAACGTTTTTTCCAGAGGCTGTCTAAATGGGCCTCTTTAGCTTCAATGTTCTTCAGCAATTCGGCTGTTGTTCCAGTGGGACCTCCAGGCAGCTTTACATTCTTCAACTGATGAAACCTATATTGGCAGATCAGTTTCAATTTAAGTAAAACAAATTTTTCATCATTATGTAAAACAAACAGAAAGAAAGATTTAATATAATTTTTTTTTAAATATCAGAAATTAAAAAAAATATTTGACAAATTTGTATCAAATAAATTTGTGAGAATATTACTGTGAAATTGTAAATTTATGACTTGATTTGAACAGTAGAACCATAACCAAATACCATGAAATTCTTCCATTATAGTTTATTTTATTCAAATTTCTCTATTTCTATTCAGGTGGTCAACTGAGCAGGGCCAATGCCATTCATTTGAAACTCATTCTATATTGGTTCATTTAGATTAATTTTATCAATTTTATTGCATTTTTATGAAAACATTCTTTTAAGGCCTTTTAAGTGTATTTTGCAATTTGGTCAGAAAACCGCCATATAAGTATTCATGAAAAAAACAATACAAAAAAAAAAAAAAAAAAACACAACCCCCCCCACAAATAAAATAAAATAAAATTTAGTGATTTTCACCAAGTTTATTTATGTTTAATGTATTTATCAAAATAAAAAAAAATTAAGCTCATCAGAGAAAGAAACAAAAAAAAAGTTTTCATGGATCAATGTTTAACACACCAATAAGAAACAAAAGGCCAGAGAATAGAGTGGCTGCAAATCTGATTATAAAAAAAAAAAAAATTCTAAATTGACAATTATGCAATATGAATAAAGACAAAAAGAAAACTTATCTTACTCAACACATTTTGTCTTCTGAGGGACTTTTAACAAAGTCACTCAGAAAATGAAATGCATTGGCTAAGAAAAGTTTTCCTTCTGTCTTCATTCATATTGTCCTTTTATAGTTGTATACGGTCTGAAAAAAAAAATTTACACAATTATTCAACTATAACAAGACTATAAAAAATTAAAGCAGGTAATAGCTTATTAAAATTTTAATCTTTTTAAAATAAGATATTGTTTTTTAAACTAAGAAAGCACACAAACACTAAAATCTAGCTTTCAATCTATTAAATTCATTTAAAACATCAAGAAAATCTCATACTGAAATCAAAATGTTTTACAATTTTACCTTTCTTTCTTGGCTTTAATTTCTTTCCCAAGATCTTTCATTTCCTCCAAATATGCCTTGGCAGCTTTCTGATCTCTTGGGTGTTCAATACATGCAATTTTAGATTCCATCACATCTGCCCAAGATAACTAAAGAAAAAAAAAAAATTTTACTGGAGGATTAGATAAAATTACTCAAGTTTACTATAAAATAAAATTTATATCAGATATAAAAATCTGAAACTTATTGCACAGCCAAATTAAATATTAGTAAATCAGCAGTTTTTACTGTCAAATTTTTTCAATAAGTGCAAAAGACAAAAACCAAAAATTACAAAGTCCACTAAAAATGAAAATATGCTATAGTCCATAAAAAAAAAAATGCCATAGACCATTAAAAGAAAAGAATACCAGTTCATTAAAAAGAAAAAGTCCATTAAAATAACAGAAAAATGCCAAGCTCCATTTATGAAAAAAAAAAAAAAAAAAAAAAGAAAAAGAAAGAAAAATGTCAGTCCATTAAAAGAACAAAAAGAAAGGCCATAGTCCATTAAAGAAAATGGAAAGTGCTTAAAAGTGAATTATAAGAAATTACACTTATAAATAAAATGTAAATTACAAAAAGAATATAAATTGAAGAGAAAATACATGAGCAACAAGGGAAAAAATACTGAAATCCATGTGACAAAAACTCACCAAATCTTTTGCATCATCCACAAACTGCTGTTTGGCCAAGGAATCTTGCAAACATTTCTTTCTTGTGTTAACTTTATCCTGAAAGAAAAACACTACATTAAAGAAAAAAAAAAGAAAAAATCAAATCAAAATGAAAATTCTCACTCCAACTGCAGACATTTTGTATTATTTTAATAACATGTTTAAAAAAAAAAAAAAAAAAAAAAAAAAGTATATCATTTTCCTTGTCCAGTCACTGTTTAATATTTCAATACAAAATATGAAATTTGATGTGATATTTATAAAGTGGATACTTTCTATTACACTTCCAGTGAGGCACAGACAACAATACCGGAGACATCACCCCCACCCCTCATTCTCAGTGGGATCTGGACATTAATTGCCTATGCTCAATGAAGTTTTAGGAATCATTTAAGAAAAAAATCTTTGATTCAAAATAACCAGCATTATAACTTATAATACTGCTTATTTTGAATCAAAAGGTCTGTTTCTTAAATGATTCCTAAAACTTCACTGAGCATAGGTGATTAATGTCATTGTCATTAATATTGTCTGAAGCAAGTCCTTTAATATAAGAACTTGCTTCAGACAATATTTAATTATAATAAAACAAACATAAATGGAATGTTCAGAACAACTTCCCAAACCACCTCCATTCCTGGTTGTTTTGTGTATGGAAGGCAAGAATTTCTTATTTAACAAAATACATTGTCACTAATTTGCTTTCCTAAAAAGGCACATTGAAACATTTTATTAGCTTTTATTCCAAATTTGTTCAAGGACTATACATGTCACCTAAAATTTTGTGATATTTAACAGGTTAAACAATTTGTGTCATGTTCCTTGTGTCTCAGCTGACATTTCACCAAAGCATCTAGTCCCCCCCTCCCATTAGAATAATAACTTAAATATGGTGAAATCAGTTAAAGTTTATGTAGATATAAATAGATCAGTATTAAAATTATTTGTATACTAATTTTGTGACTTGCAACAGAGTCAAGGAAAGTATCTTACATTAATAAAGTTAAAATATATTAAATTTTGAGCAATTTTTTTTTTTTTTTTTTTTTTTAATATCACCCCATGCAAGGCAGTGAAGCCATAAGTGGTTGCTGTGGGGAGGGAGGGGAGAGAGACATTAAGGAGCAAGAAGAGAAGATGAATCAAAACAGTAAATAGCGATTGACATTGTGTTTAAATTTTTGAAGATCAAAGTTGGCTGGGAAGCATGACGCAGGAAAAGAATTTCACAAATGAGAAAAACTGTTAGCATTGATCTTATAGTTACATTTAGCCAATTCAACAGAATTGATGAGACATTGCTGCCAATCTAATACTGCACTTAAATTCGTGAAGTTTAGATACTATAACAAAGAGTTCATCAGAACAATTACCATGAAATTCAGTATCTGTTTATATTTATGAGATGAGGCATTATGTACATTAGGACTATTGTCCTCATGTTTGTTGCCATATTTATTACAATATTTCGGCCGTTGTACGCTCCGGCCTTCTTCAGGTGGTTAGAATGTCGAACTGAACCCTTTATATCGCTCAGTGGGGTAGACTGTTCTAGTTCCACGTGCCATGTTTAATGGATGTCAGTTATCAGTTATCTTGTTAATTTCCCTCTGAAAGTTCTCCACTTGGGTCCTGTCACTGGATATAACCAATGTCTTTATCCACTGTGCAAGGACACATGGCACCCAAAGAGTGTGAGTTCAATACCTGGTTAAGGCAGTGGAGAACTTTCAGAGGGAGATAAATGATAACCGACATCCATTAACATGGCACGTGGAACTAGAACAGTCTACCCCAGTGAACGAAATAAAGGGTTCAGTTTGACATTCTAACCACCTGAAGAAGGCTGGAGCGTACAATGGCCGAAACATAATAAATATAGCGACAAAGATGAGGACAATAGTCCGAATAATGTAAATAATGTATCATGAAATTATTTATCGAAAACACACAGGAAAGCTACATTATATTGGTGGGAAAGTGAATGAAGCTAAAATACCAGGTCAGAATCATAAATATATTGTTAATTTTTTATTTTATCAAGAATCTAAATATACAGTGTGATCAGATATAGAAGCAGTATTCAAAGTATGGATGAAGGGTAGATATGCAAGTTAAACCCTGGAAAGGAAATTTGTCCTCTGTGATGTGGATTCCCTCTATCTTTGCTATAAATATTTTCATGACAGTTGTTTTAATAAGCTCTCCTCCTTGTTAACTCGACTTCAAGAATTTAAGCATACCAACAGATTAAAAAATAGGTCTCGGTTTACTGTTGAAATTTGCTAAATGTAACCATAACAGCTTCTTTTCTCAAACTTCTCATCTGTGGAATGTTTCTTACTTCCCTGCCACCTATATTATTCAAAAATTTAAATTCAATGTAAATTGTTACCTTCTGTCTTAATTCTTGTTCTTTTATTGCATTTTTCCTCACTGAAGTTTTCAGATTCTTTCATACCCAGTAAGTAGCATTATAACTTTACTTGGGGTGAAATGATTGGGGAGGGGGGAGATAATAATAATAATACAACTAATAATGCTACTACTAATAATAACAAAACTACTACTCCTAATACTATTACTAATAATAATACCAGAATCTGGTTAGTGATCTGAAGAATCTATGGAATATGAATGTAGAACTAATTCATGTAGTAATGTGTGTGTACCTTGAAAACTGAAAAAAGCTTGGGGAGAAATGGAATTAAAATCAAAATCAAAATTGTAGCCCCCCCCCACACACACCAAGAAAACTGCCATTTACACAAGGATTCACTGAAAATGTTATTTAATTATTAGTAGCCTTGTTGATGTCATACCACGAAAACAGAATTTACATCAACGTGCAAAACCAACATAATACTAATAATTCTAAGAATTATGGCAAAAATATGTTTCGTCTATGTAATTCAAGAAAATATTCTGTATTAACCTGATAGTAAATCTGCCAATATCATCAGTGGAAGAGGCTAAGATTGAACCACTATTATCTTTGTAACAGATACCAGTGAAGGAACATGGATAAAATTTCTGTCAAATGAAGATCATCTAAGGAAGTCTGTAGTGCTTTTTGATTATTAAACGGACAGCTTTACCTGTAATGCTTTCCACTGAATGTCAACTTCTTTCTGTCTCCGGTCCACATACCGTTTTTCATCTGGGTAGGCTGAACGAACACTAAAAGACAATAACAGAAAAATAAATGCAGAAGACATGCTTGGAAAATATTGTGATTCAATTATTAATGAAAGTATAAATATATAAGCAAATATATGGATATAGATCCGACAGTATGAAGAAAAATATACAGAAAAAACAAACAAAAATCTTAATATGCAATTATGCTGTATTAATGTTAATATAAAGTCAACGTCAGACGTTTCGGTCTATTTTAGACCATCATCAGGACATATTGACGATGACGTGATCATATTTAAACGGAACGCTGATCTTATATAAAAATTTCAGTTACCTGTTTGGATTAGTTGTGCTCCTATGTCCATCATCTTTTCATGTTGAATTTTATATGTTCTCATGTTAATTATGTTTAATGAATATGCCCTGATGGTCTAAAATAGACTGAAACGTCCGACGTTGACTTTATATTAACATTAATACAGCATAATTGCATATTAAGATTTTTGTTTGTTTTTTCTGTATATTTTTTTCATTATATATATATATATATATATATATATATATATATATATATATATATATATATATATATAGATATAGATATATATATATATATATATATATATATATATATATATAAAGTGAACATAGAAGTCAACACTTAGAGGTGACAGTCCATTTCATGCTAGACACAATCTTTAGGTGGCCTGATGATTACGTCTAGCATGAAACATACTGTTGACTTATGTTGACTTTTATGTTCACACTCGCTCTATCTCTGATATTGAGCATTTTATCCCATAAATATAGCACATCTTAAGATTATATTTCTTCATATATATATATATATATATATATATATATATATATATATAAAAATTTATAATTTTTTAATATTTTAAAAGAAAATCTATACTCTTCATACCATGATGGAGAAGTGACAGACATTAATCTGTTTCTTTAAGAATTAAAAGAAAAAACAAAAAATAAATGGTCAATTAAAATAACTTTTTTTTTAGAAATAAAACAAAAATTAATTTTTCATCACAGATAAAAAAAAACAAAAACAATCTTTCTTCAGCACAATTATTGAGCTTCAGAGATTATATCAAATATATTTTTTAAATGTTTGAAAAAATTTATAGACTAAAACTATTAGAAAATGCCTGAAAATCATACTGTAGGGATACAAACGAAGATTATCTCCCTTTCATTGATATAGTCACGTGACAGCTGGCGAGTCACATCAGGGGATAGAATGATGAAGGATAGTTGGGATGTAGAGCTCAGAGAAGAACATCTCCAGCCCACAGCAGTAGGCCTTCCAAAAAAAAAAAAAAAAAAAAAAAAAAAAATTGCCTAACCAAGTTTGTAGACAAACCACCACAACTCCAGTTTTCCCCTTGGGAAATATTACAAGTAAGGTTCCCCTTTTTTACACACTGTTGGTGCATATGTTATAATTTTTTTGCATGGGAACACATGTATATGTTTATATATCTAATTTTGTTTACGATGTAGCATGACAAAACTCTGAGAACTAAGCATGTCTGTCATTCTTTTTCCATTCAGCTATTCCATTAAACCTGTTATTGTATCACAGATTTAATAATGCCCATAATGGGGGAAATTCAAATAGAATAAATTTTTCTTCTATAGCAATCTTCCATTATAATACCACTGGTTAACCCATACCTTATGAATCAAATTAGCTAAACAAAACTTAAGCCATGAATGGTTTCACAAGCAGATAGTCACAAATCATTGTGACCAAAGGTTTGATAGAAATGACATTGTTCAACTCTTGATCATGCCCATTTATACACAAAAACTAACACCTGCTTGGTGTAGTTGTAGTATAAACCACAAGTTTGTTCTGTGCTGAAGAAACAAATGTCCCTGACCAGACAACAGGGATTAACTAGTTTCCAAATAGACTACATAGTCTCTCAAAACTGACAGATGTCTTCATAAATAAATAACTGTGGAAACCTGTTTTTTTTTTCATTCACTCTGATAATGTTTAATATCTTTTGTTAATTCTCAAGGATAGAGAAAATGTATAAATCCATTTTCTTATAATTGATCTTTGTTAAAATTCTAATCACCACTTTAAAACAAACATTCCTGATGGAATCAAGTGTATACAGTAATAGCAGTGTCAAAGAAATAACCATCTTTTTAATGGGCTTTGTTGCAAACACAAAGGTTAAACATTGTACATTCTTGTATTATTAAACTATTCCTTACAAGTTAATGATCTCTTACTAAACTCATTTTCCTAGCCATAGATACATGCTTTAGATATTGAAAATGTAATGCAACCACCATAGCATTTTATTTCAATTATTGCTATACATAGCTGCAATCTTAAATAGATAACAACAATCAGATTTTAAGCATGATTTTTTTTTTTTATATTCTTGTCTATTTTTATGATCATTTTCCAAAATAGTAATGGATTTTTATTTGTTAAATCAGACATTTTTATTACTCTAAATGTTATCTTTATTCGATACTCACATTTAACGAGATGCTCCATTTATTTAAAATCCTATTAGAGAAACACTCCTGCTGGAGGTCATATTTTTTTCTCTAATATGATTTCTTGAATGTTCAGGTCGGTAGACAAAATAAAAATTTTAGAAGAGCTTGTGCATTCTCTAGAAATTGATAAGTGTGATTCCATCAATGAAATCAGTATCTGTAAGATATTTAGCAGAGAAGCAAAAGTTTCTTGTGGGTATAGTTTTTACTCTAAATGTTTTGATTGTAAAAAAAAAAAAAAAATTTAAAATGATTTATTATGAGTTATTTTACTAATGTAAATAAATGTCCCATAGAATTTAGTTAAATACAAGTTCATTTTCATTAAATGTGTTTTACTTCAAAATAAAGCATATACATTTTTCTTTCTTTCTACATATGTGCTGTGTCCTTTTGGGATGTAGGTGATCCTGGCTCTCCACCTCCCTCTATCCCTTGCAGGTTTCAAGTTCCTTCCCTCTGCCACATGCTCCAGACCATGTTCTGTCATCTACCTGCCTAAAGCTGCAAGGTATGTCATGTCTCTTTTCCTTCTATTCGACCTGTGAGTATTAGATTCTCAAGGCTCTCCTTCCTCATTATGTGTTCCAAGAACTTCAGCTGCCTCTTCCTGATGTTAAATATAAGTCTCCTCCTTCTTTGCATCCTCTAAGACCTCATTGTTGCTCACACATTCAGTCCATGATATCCTTAGCATCCTTCTGTAGAAACATCTCGAGTCTCTTCATCTTTGAGGAAATCGTCCAACATTCATGGCCATAAAGAAGGACAAATGTCACATAACAGTATTCTTTTCTTTGTTACCAAAGAAATCCTGTCTTGCAATACTCTGCCTGGATTCTGGAATGCATCCTTGGCCATCTCAATACACCTATGGATCTGTGTCACATTTACTGTCCTGTCAGAATGCTTCCCAGATATTTAAACTACAGAGTCTGCTTGATTCTAGTGTTCCTGACCTGAAAATCGCATTTTGGGGTCATCCTTTTACTGATGTCCATACATTATGTTGTCTACTATTTTATGCTTAGTCCCTTCTTCACTGTCACTACCTTCTGTAGAAGAATTTTGTAGTTTCGTGTCTGCTATCAGTACGGTGCCATCTGCGTATCTTATGTTGTTAAGATTATGGCTGCCATTGCTAAATCCCAGTAGAGTTTCCAATTCTTTCAGAATTGCCTCACTGTATAAGTTGAACAAGTTTGGGTGAGAAGACACATCCTTGTCTTATGCCCCTTTCTATTTTTGTATATTTACTGAACTCGTTCTCTATGTGCATACATCCTGTTTGCTGCCAGTACATGTACTATTTCATAATTCTTAAACTTATCTATCAGTAAAAAATAAAGTAAGTTTGTTTTCATTGAATGACTATGGGGCGCCACTAAAAAAAAAAAAAAAAAAAAAAAAAAAAGTAAAAGTGGTTCATAGGTGTAACAAAGAAAAAACGGTTGATAATCACTGCTTTAGACAACAAGGCCCGAGAACCACTTAAGGTAGAGGGTTACTGTTAAAAAATAGTTGAGAACCACCAATTTAGAGTAATAAAAGCATATGATCATGTAAACATTCTACAAATACTTTGATTTTATCAATGGTGATGTTTTATCCCGGTCTGAATTTCTGAAATAAAGAATTTTGGTTAGACACTGATCTATTCAGACAACAATTTTCATTTTGGTAGTTTCAGCCATTGTACTTCTAAGCTTTCTTCCAAATGGATAAAAAGTATTGGTTAAGTGCAGTGAGTCAATTTGTGGCCATGAGTGCAATTGCTATGTGAAGCAGTGGAAATTCATTCATTCTGATTCAGCGGAAAAAAGCGAACACATCATTGCAAAGACAAATTATTTAAGAATTAACACAAGGACAGAATGAATTAACTAAATTAAAACACAGAGCATGAAGGGTGTTCTTTGACACAAACAAGATGTAGGGTAGCAACATGAGCAACACAAACAAGAAAATAACTATTTACTTCAGTGAATTGAACAGAAGGTTCATTTCAAAATGGCTAGGTTACTGAATACAGCAAGTAGCTGAAGAAGACCAGAGAGTACACTGGCAGAAACCTTATTGGCACAAATGGACCCCCTAATACAACTGGCTAAGAAATACACACTAAGTCAAGTGGGCTTTAAATGATTCTATCTGAATCTGAATGGTGGAGTGTTTTTATGACCAACAGCAAAGTTTACAAAATAGGATCTTCAAATCAACCACCCACGTGACCAAAAGAGAATAAAATAGTAGCTTATCCTATTGCCCGTTTCGCACTCCTCCCCATTTTTTTTAAACATTTTTTCCTAGTTTCCTGTTTAGGAATGTGTTTCTGGTTCCTTCTAAAGTCTTTATTCTCTTTCATAACCCATACCTCCGTGTATTTTAGTGGCATTATCACTTTGCTTGGGGTGAATTGATTATAAAAATAAAAAATAAATTAAAACTTCTTGATCAGAAGTTCCTGTCCAACTAGACATGTCGGTAACATT